TGCTCCCTGTGTTTGCTTCCCCTGCAAGGCGCATGCCTAGCACGGGCTCTGGCTGCTGCAACCCGGCTGGCTGGGCACTCCTGTTTCCTCAAAGGGCATGAGAACGGGTGCTCCTGTGGATCCTGCTCGCGGGCCTGGCGCAGATGGGCTCTGTGGCCACTTCCCCACCTGCTCTGTCCATGTGGGGCAGGATTCACCCCTGATGCTCTGGATGGAAGCAATGCTGGGTCTCAGGGAGAAAACAAAGCCAAATAAGCCGCTTGCAGGGCACCTGGCTGAACACGGGAGGCCAAGTAAGGCCTGTGCTATGGAGGAGGCAGTAGGTGCTGGTCCTCTGAGGGCCTCTGAAACCCTTCAGGGCTCAGCCTGCCATTCCAGGGCTCCCTGCAGCCTCCCTCAGTGGCCACCTGAGGGTCACAGGGGACAGGCTAACTAGGCCAGGGGGAAAACCAGAGGATGGGGGCTGGGGAGATGGCTCAGTGGAATAAGCGCTTCCCTGGCAAGCACAAGGGCCTGAGTTCAATCCCTGGTTCTGACAAAGGGGAAAAAAAAAAAAAAGAAGAAAGAAAGGAAAAAAGAAAACCCGAGGATGAAGCGAGAGGCTAGAAAGGCCTCAATGACAGAGAAATTCAGGAAATGGTGTACAGGCAGCATTCTGGTGGGTGAGGCGGAAGCGCCAATTCAAAACCATTTTAGGCCACTAAGTGATTTAACAAGACTTTGTCTCAAAAGCGAAAAGCTGGGTCCAGTGGCGCACACTTGCAATACCAGCACCTTGGGAGGCTGAGGCTGGAGAGTCACAAGTTCAAACCCAGGTGGCACAACTTGGAGCCTGTCTCAAAATACAAAATAAGTTGGGGAGATAGCTCAGCAGGACGGTGGCTGCCTTGCAGGCACAAGATCCTGAGTTTGATACCTGTTACCAAAATATAAGTTACCACATGCTAACTCATTGTGTCCCACTGGAGCTTCCCCATTGCTAAAACAAAACAAAATAAAATGTGTGCAGCTTGGTAAGAAAGCCCTGTGAGGGCCGGGGAGATGGCTCAGTAGACTAAGCGCTTCCCTGGCAAGTGCAAGGACCTGAGTTCAAT